CAAGGCAAAGACTTCTGCTCTCAATGTGCTGCCTGCACCTAGAGCTGCCACGGGGTGAGTCTGTCCCTCAGAGCAAGCAGGAGACATCAATGAGCTATTTATCTTCTTATATCCTCATGAGCTGTGGATGTCCCATCCCTGGAGGTGTTGGTTTTGAGCAACCTGGTCTAGTGAAAGATGTCCCTGCCCCTGGCAGGGAGCAGGACTGGATGATCTTTAAGGTCCCTTCCAACCCAAACCATTCTACGATTCTATGATCTGAATAAATTCTCTTCTCCAGTGCGTGTGGTTACCAGAGCAGAGCTAAGCATGAGAGACCACCAGATATGTTTCCTCTTTCCCAGAAGTTCTTCCCCACAGCTCAGCTCCATCTCCCCTCTTTCAGGGTCCAACCCTTCCCCCTCCTCCTAGGGCTCCCCTCCCTCATCCAGAGTCCCTCCCCAGCTTTCCTGGAGCCCCCCTTCTTTAGGGACTGGAAGGGGCTGGAAGGTCTCCCCGGAGCCTTCTCTTCTCCAGGCTGAACCCCCCAACTCTCTCAGCCCGTCCTCCCAGCAGAGGGGCTCCAGCCCTCCCAGCATCTCTGTGGCCCTGCTCCAACAGCTCCATGTCCTTCTGCTGTTGGTGGCCCCAGAGCTGGAGGCAGCACTGGGGGGGTGTCCCCAGAGCGGAGCAGAGGGGCAGAATCCCCCCCTGGCCCTGCTGGCCACGCTGCTGGGGATGCAGCCCAGGATGTGGGGGGGTTTCTGGGCTACCAGCACATGTTGTCAACTCATGTAGAGCTTCATACCCATCAACATCCCCAAGTCCTTCTCCTCAGGGCTGCTCTCCATCCATTCTCTGCCCAGCCTGGATTTGTGCCTGGGATTGTACAAAGAGAAACCCTCCCCAGCGGTGCTTTAGAAGATGGCTGGAATAGTGCAACAACCACCTTTCCATCCAAACAGGTCGTTACTACCAGCCCCTCCATGAACACATTGTATTTGAGGTGGTCATCCTGACGGGAAGAAGAGGGAGAGCTTGGGGAGTTGAAAAAAAAACCCACCCAAAACTATTTTGGGACTTCAAAATAAGACCGTGCCTAAGACACATTCTAACCATATAATAATTCCATGTCCCCCGCCATATGCTGTGCATTAATCTAAACCAGAGAACTATTAATAGCAATCCAGGAAGTGTCCAAAAGCAGCCAGTGTTAATTGACCCCACTCCATCTGCCTGCGTGGTGCGAGTGTTTCCAGCACAGTGCGACTGCAACCCCAGCACACCCAGTCTCCCACCAGCAGAAGCCGCTGATTTCCAGCTGCCTCTGATTATTCTGCTTTTCTGTTTGTATGTGTTTACAGGGGGAATGTCAGACCCCGAAATCTGCAAATAAATACGTATGTGATTAATGCCAGGGGAGTCAATCAGGCTGTGTGCCCAAATAAAGCCAATCCCATGTGGGTGAGAGGGTGTCCTGCTACAGAGACGTGCTGTCACGTGTTCCACAGATGCAGGAACACACGTGTGCACACAGATGGAGACCCTGCACAGCCAAGACCAGTCATGTCCCACCCAGAAAGGGCAGCTCTTCTCCAAGGGGAGGGGAGAAAATACCCCCCAAACACCTGCCAAGGCAAAGACTTCTGCTCTCAATGTGCTGCCTGCACCTAGAGCTGCCACGGGGTGAGTCTGTCCCTCAGAGCAAGCAGGAGACATCAATGAGCTATTTATCTTCTTATATCCTCATGAGCTGTGGATGTCCCATCCCTGGAGGTGTTGGTTTTGAGCAACCTGGTCTAGTGAAAGATGTCCCTGCCCCTGGCAGGGAGCAGGACTGGATGATCTTTAAGGTCCCTTCCAACCCAAACCATTCTACGATTCTATGATCTGAATAAATTCTCTTCTCCAGTGCGTGTGGTTACCAGAGCAGAGCTAAGCATGAGAGACCACCAGATATGTTTCCTCTTTCCCATCCCCCATCCTGAATGGAATTTCCTTTCTGAAATGGCATCAATCTGAAACATAGGAGGGCCAATTTAGTCCTGCCTTAAGGGAAAACGTCACTACCTCCTCTATACTGAAACTGGGAATCCTGCATTTCTGAAAAGGGAAATTCTTATCGCTGCCAGAAGGTGCAAAGATCAGTCATCCAGCCCCACAAGCCCTGAAACACAGAGCACAGAGGACCCAAGGTCGATGGAGATACCTCTTGCATTCCAGGTTTCATTTTCCCTCTTGTCAGTTACTGTAACTGACAGAAAAACTTGATTAATTCGTGGGACACATGAAGTCAGCTCAGTATAATCCCCAAAAGCTACGTACAGCTTATTTTAAAGCCTTCTACACCTGGTTTGTTAGCGTGGGCTGTTTAAAGACCAAGGGTACACTTCAAAACACAATGATAACGTGTGACTTTAGGTCTCTGATGAGTCAGTCACCCACTGCCTCACCCCGCACAGGAGTCCGAGCTGTACGTCAGCTGCTTCCTACATCTCCAGAGTCTACAGTGCAGGTCTTGAGGCACCGAGTTTTGATGTCACCTTTGCTCATCTGTCTTCACTGACCTCTTCTGCAGCTTAGAGCGTGGTCAGATGAGCTCTGGCAGACCCGATTCCAGCTGTTCACCCACCTCTGGGCTGGAGGTGAGTGATGGGAGGGCAGTCAGATGAGATGTGCCTGACAGATGTGCTCTGACATCTGGAACAGCCAGGAAGGAAAGCCTGTGCCTGGATACCAGTGTTTGGAACTGCCAGTTGAGGTGGGGACACACATCCTGCGCTGCCACCCATGCCAGAAAGGCCACAACCTTGCTGGAAGAGCTGGACAATAACTTGGAGAATTCAAGCTTTAAACTACCACAGTAGTCAGAGAAGGACCTTTGTACCAATTGCAGATCCTCACTGCAGCAGGCCATGGAGCTAAAATTGAGGAAGCCACATCTTTACAAATGATTTGTTAGTTATCTCACTGAAGCACATAAACGTACAGAAGTATCAACAGAGATGGAAAAAACCCTAACTCCACCCTATCAAATGCAGAATCTCTATGTACAAAAAGAAAAAAGCCAAAAAAGGTATGTATTTCCAATTGAAAGATACAAAATGGATATAAAATAGCTATCTAAGAAATACAGTATGTATTATGTGCTCTCAATGGGAGGGTACTGCTGTGCAGATAAAGAGGATTTCTCCATACAGTTGGTCTAAATATGAACGAGACCCTTCAACTCATTTAAGATTCCACATCAACAAATGAATTTCAGAAAAATAACAAGATTCCTCACTACTTCTCAGGTAGTAACAGCCCAGCAACAGTCTACGAAGTTGGTGCCAATGACTTTGGCACTAATGGGAGATCACTGAAGGTGGTAAAAACGTACATGTGACCTTGTCAAGAGAACCAAGAGCTTCTGCAGATTGAATAAATTTTGCAGTGCAGGGAGCATTAACCAAAAGAAATCAAGGAAAAAAGTGAAGAAACGTGAGGGAAAAAAATGCAGTCTTTGCCCACTTTAAATCCAGTAACACCGAACACTAAAATTGGTGGTATCAATAAATCCTGCCTCGGTATCGCCGGCAAGTCGGTGTGATTGATGTCGTGGCGTCGCTGTATCATTTGGAGCACTAAGGTGAGTGCTGCCACTGACGGGCACCGTGAGTCACGTAACCTTTCTGCCTCTTGTTTGCTCCTCTTAAGAGAGAATTAATGGGAGGAAACGTTTTGTCTGGAGGAACAAGCTCATGCTTTGCAAAGAGGAGAATGGGACCAACTAGACACAGAGACCCCTTCCCTGGAATTTCAGTCTGCAAAAAAAATTTCTCCAGGCATCTCTTCGGGAGCGAGCAGCCTCCTCTGATTCAAACCCAACTGTTGTGTGGCAAATTTTACCTGTGGTAGAAATTGGAACTGTTTTATTTTAAATTAGGGTGAAATGGTATGCAATTGATATCGTTGGAGTCTTAGGCTGCTCATTTTTCATAAAGTTGTTTGTGCATATGTATTGTCCTGAAGGGTGACAGGTATCTCAGAAAGAGGGCGGAGAGAAATCAAGACTAACTTCAGTGGACTGACTGTGGACGCTGCAATTAATATCTCCATGCAGCCCAGCTTAATTTAAATTAATGAATCACCTGCTGCTTCAGGTAGGTGGTCTCTGAGAAGCTGGGGGGGCTGATCCTCACTCGTCCTGGGTGCGTCAGTGCCCCACCAGGACACAGACTGGGCACACACTGCATTGGGAGTTGAGGGATGCTGTGAAAGGTGATGGGTCTCCACCTCAGCTGTTGCATTTCCCTTCTGGTTTAACTTCCTGACTTGGGGGCTGGGGGAAAAGCCCAGCAATTCATCAAAACTGTCATGTGGAAAGTCACCTTTTAGTCTTCTCTGATAAACCATATAACAAAAAGGTGAGGAATGAACAGATGAGTCCAGATCTGCGAGCTGTATTTGGGCCAAGCACCTATCTACAGTTCATGGCTGAGACACAGAACTATTTTCTTTTAAATTAGGGGACATGTATCCATATTTACATCGTATAATACATGGATTAACACACAGGTGTCTGTGAAACATCTCTCACACTGAAGGGGTGAGAACAAAGAAGCGTTTTAACCTATTCACTTGGGTACCTGCCCATAAACCGCATGAATCCTCTAAAATACATGACTAAAATGCTTTTTTATCGAGGATGAATTTTACTTGCTTATAATGAAATTTGGTAAATGCATCCTGTGAACACACATGTAAGTCCTTGAGCCTGATAGTTATAAGATTAGGTCATACACACACACAAAAAAAAAAGTATCTTTTGGATTGTAGCCAGAAAAGTTTTTGCAAAAAGTGATCCAATCCCGTATCTGATTTGTGAGCAGTCTATTTACTGAGCCCATTGCTTCCTTGTTCTTCTTACGTAAACTTCCTCAAAGCAAACACACTGAAAACATTTTCCACTGGAAATGTGTCCAACACAATTCAATAAACAATGTAGGAAATAAGGGACTGCAAATTCAGAGAGCCATCTACTGGCAGCTAAGTGAAACGAATTAAAGTCATTAAGGGCCAAATCTCTGCCTCTCTTTGCACGTAATTTCTTTAAAGATCAGGTGGTGTCTGGTTCATTCCTTTCTCCTGGACTTACCTCCTCTACTTCAGGTGGAGCAGCTGGGTAGACCCACGGACACTGCAGCAGGAATTGTGGCCAAATCATACTTCCACAGCAGGAAAAGTTCCTTTGGAGGGAGAAATGGAAATGTGAATCCTCAACTGCACTAGCCTTTCTGCAGCCTTCCTTGGATGGCAGTGTTTGATTTCTGCTTCATTTTTGCCTCTATTCTTTGTCTCCTGGCATTACTACTTTCAGATTTCTTCATCTTAATAGATGGGTTCATGAACTTAAATCTCCTCAGATAAGGACTGGCAGTCTTCTCAACTGAGCTTCCATTAATTTCTGCTCATGTTTATCATTTTTAGGTAGTTTATGTTTCTACCCTTAATACAGCTTTCAATCTCTCCCAGTTTAATACTCCATGAATGCCACTCATATGCTCTTTATTTTCTCTTCTGGATATTTTAACTAAGATCTTAAATTAAGGGTAGCCTTGGCACAGATTCTTACAAGTATCCTAGTGGAGCCTTCTCTTCCCCAGCCTAATCCTGGGACACAGTAAGAACACCTGGTTTTGGATGGAGCGAGTGGTAGAAGCAGATGCATGAACACCTCAAAAGCAATCAGGAATCCAGCAAGGGGGTTTGCTCACACTGTCCCTTTCATCCTGCACTACTGCTTGAAAGGATGGTGCACAAATTGCTGCCACAGTGGCTTCCACGGGCAGATGGACACACCAGGCACGTGTGAGCAGACTGGGAGAAGGACCTCAGGGCCACTCTCAGTGGACAGAGGACTCAGAGTGTGTGCATGATGGTGGGAACATCTCAAGAAGCAACTTGGGAGCATCCTTTGTTTCCTGAAAGGATCCCTCAAGCGTAGCTGTTGCTTTGTTGCTTTACAGTGTGCATGCATTGACTATTAAACTTGAAGATCCTGACCTCTTTGTGAAGCCCCTGACATTCTGGAGTAATGGGTTTGCTTCAGAGACAAAATAGTTGTCATAGCTTTTAGTTTTTAATCAATAATGCTTCTCATCTTTATAAAGCTCTCTATCATTTATCTAACCATTCTATTTCCAGTAGTGTTGCTAAGTGCAACCAACCCTTCCACGAGCCCATCTGAGGTTTTCTGTTCTTAAATGGGTGGGAGCAACCTTGTTGTAACTTATTTTACCAAGTAGTTCTGTGAGCAGCAGAATTAATGCAGCCTGGATTCCGGTGTTCTCCCTTTATTCTATTCCAGGGTCTCTTTTTAACCTGAGCAGCTATTTCCACAAAATATTTAGGTATTTAGTAGCTCTGAGGCTCTCCAACCTTGATTAAATTGCAGAGCGGTTTCAAAACTTTCCAGAGGGAAACAGATCACAGATGGCTTACTTCCCTAGGAAATGCAACTAAAAATAAATGAGGAAAAATTCCCTTCCCTGTAGCTCCTTCACCCAAGGTCTGCTCCGTTTAGACAACAGACAAACGGGTGTTTTGGAAAGCACACACTGTTGGCCAAATGTTTAACGGGGTTTTCCAAATATATTGCAGATTATTGATGAATACTTAGATAACTTCCTGAAGGCAATCTAGTAGGCTAGTGGAAAATACAGGATCAGAAGCCTTGTTTCCCTGTTCTCCCAACTGCCCAGCAATTCAGTGGTATCTTACCATTGTGCAGTATTTGGTGGCTAAATGTTCTGTAACCGTGGTGGTATCTCCAAAATCCATAAAGCAGAGAGCATCTTCTATAATTTTCAGTCTTCTTGGCATTGCTTGGTGTTACCGCTTGGTTTATCTATTAAAAAAGCAAAGAACAACAGATTTTAAATATTTCCTTACTGGTACTGTATTAATTTAGCACAAATCAAGCTCAAAGACAGTTTGCATGGCCTTTGTGACATTAAAATGTTGAAAATGTAAACTCTGTGACATTTGTTGGAAGTTTGTTGAACGCAATATGTTGTCTCCCACTCCCTCTGCAAATCTTCCCTACAGAAATAGGAATTAGTGAATGTGAAGAAAACTCTCTCTTTACAGATAGTTATTTATGGTTGTCTGAGTAATTATTTTGCAATCAAAGCTTTGTTTCGCATGATCTGACTGATGCAAAATAACAGAAAATAAATATCTTCATTCTCATAACCTGATTGCCTGAGGGATTTACAATGTATATCCAGATGGCATGTTGTGTGGCCTATCAAATCAGGGCATGGTTATTAAATTTCAGAGCAGGAAGGTGCAGGCAACTAATTTCAGGCAGGGGAATAGTCATTTCATTTGATCAACTGAATAATTCTTTGTTCAACATTTAGCCAAATCCAAGCCACGTTAGCTACTCAGCTCTCAATATTCGAGACCATACACAAACAGACAAGCACATTCATCTTTGTCTTTGAGAGTAAAAGCAAAGATGAAACTTTAAAGAACTATTCTTTCTAAAACAGGTCATAAAATTCTGAATGCAGGAGGCCTGTTTCCTTCTGCACTGACAGATTACCCACTACTGTGGGGACACAGTCTTTCATGACTTCAGTACAAAGAGCAAATGCTTTTTATTTTTAAATCTTTATCTTTGCTTGGAATATAAAGACACATATGGCGTGCATGCCACTTTCTGTGTATTACCTCTCCTTTCCAGTTTTGAAAGAGAACAGTAAATACACATGACCAGTCTTCAGGATTTTTCAGATTTTATCATGGTAGCATTACTGCTGTAACTCCACTATACACAGACGCTGGCTGCTAGAGTTTGAAGGATTGCTAAAAGAGATGAGGACTGTGATCACTAATCTACAAGGAACACAGAAACAAAGTGCTGTTCACAAGGGCAAACAGTCAGCTGAAAGGCAGGGAAGGGATTAGAAAAGTGATCTCCCACATCCCCCTCCAAGTTAGAGCTTTGAAACAATACGTCTGCTTTGCACATTCACACCTACCATCCTCTTTACTGATCGACCCTTCTACATGAAATATAATATACCCATTGCATCCACAACAAAACCCAACGTGAAACACATGAAACACCTACTGTTGACGTTTGTGCTGAAGCTTAATTTAAGATCATGTGGTATAATCATGTGCTGATGATAAAAAAATTAAACTCGTCTGATCATCTTTGACCAGCAGAAGGCAGTAAAATCACAAAATGGGAAAAAAACACCTCACTTTATCCACCCAAACTCGTTCTGTTGAGTCTGAGTACACGGAGAATGTGGGGATATGGTCCTTCTGAAGGATGTCAGGCAGTAACACCAGTTCCAGACATTCAACAAATTCAAATCACACCCTTCCCAAATCCTATACTTTTTTTTTTTTTTTTTAAACCATTGGCCCCTGATACAGCCAATGATTAATTTTAAGGAGCTTAAGACAAACAGATTAATGAAGAACCTACTTTACAAAAGACTAAGAAACCCCCAAATCCTCACCCTGTCTAGCCTAGGTGAGGGAGAGCAGACGCAGTTACTCTGGTGTATTTTCAGAAAAGAAAAAAAGCAGCAATTTGAACTGGAAAACACTGTTGGCGCATGAACAAACACTGCTGTGTTTAGACTGCAGATTTCACCATTAGCAGCCTCCAGAGAACTTGGAGATTTTGGAACCATTTTTCTGGAGTCAAAAGACAGAAATTTAAAAATTAAAAAAAAAACCAAACCACAACAAACAAATAAAAAAACCCCAAAACCACCTTGAAAGGGCGGCGGGAGGCTCCGTGAGGGGCCGAGCGCTGCGGCGGCCGCCGTTGGCGGGGCTGGGCCCTGACGGCGGGGCCGGCCTTCCGCTCACAACCTCCGGCTTCCCGCCCTCCGCCCGCCTTCCCGGGGGCTCGTCCCCGGCCGCAGCCCGTCCCGCCGCGGGGAGCCGGCCCGCCTCGGCCTCCTCCTCCTCCTCCTCGATCCTTCCTCCCTCCGCCACAGGCGGCGGCCCGGCAACCCCCGCCCTGCCGGCGGACTACAGCTCCCAGCATGCCCCGCGCGGGTCCGCCGCGGGGTCCGGCCGGCTCCCGCAGCGGCGCCCGCCGGGAGCTGTAGTCCCGCGCCGTTCCCTCACGGCTTCAGCGGCCCCGGGAGGCCGCTCATCGGGCGGGTAAGCGGCGGTCCCACCGCCTCACGGCTGCCAGCGGCTCCTCCGCCCCCTTTACGGCTGCCGCGACGATGGCGGGAGCGGGGAAGCGTTAACCGCCCGCCGGCTCCTTCTAGGGGTGAGCGGCCGGCGCCGGTGCGGTGGGACGAAACGCCTCAGCGGTGGCGGCGAAGAGGCGGCCGCTGCCGGGCGCACCCGCGGGCGGCGGCCCGGGCCCGGGCTGTGGTAACCGCGACGCGGCGGGTGAGGGAAGAAGCGGGGCCGCCGCGGGGGACAAAAGGCCGCGGGGGTCGGTGTGAGGGATCCGGGGCGGGAACGGGCGAGGAGAGAGGCGGCTCTTCTGCCAACAGCTGCGGCTGGGCTTTAAACGAGTAAAACCGTCGGTCTTCGCTGCAGGATTGGAAAAAAAAAGCTGCTTTTTCTTCACCTGCCCTTTGTAAATTATTGTTTCTAACTGTCTTAATGTGTGTTTGCAGCTAGAAAGGACTCGCTCCTCAAAAATGACTTCTCGGCATTATTGTCTGCCTGGTACTTCTGTGTGGATTTCGCTGTCGCTGCTGCTAGGTCAGTGTCTTTCCAGGTAGGAAGGATGCGAAGGGGGTCTTGTCTTCACACTTAAATTAATTAATATTAAGGTAGTCACGTTTAGACTTCATTCGTCCCTTTTGCTGCAGTTGCATTGGCAGGTTAGGTTGCTTTTTCTGTTAATGAAAATACACAAATTCTATTGTTAGTGAGGTTTTTTCCCCTCACCGTTAATAACCACCCAGCTCGCTGCGATCTTCCCCCTCTTAACTCTGGGCTCTGAGAGGACAAGACTTCCATTTTTCAGAGGGGTCTCCTGCCGCTCTGTGAAGTTAAACCATCCTAGTAATGTACGTTCTAGGCAACTTCTTAAATGAGACAACTTCAGTATAAAACCATTAGCATTAGATTTAATAACAGGGGTTGCACGGTGCCCGTTGGGCTTGAATCCGCATTCCCTGTGACCTCCTGATGCTGTTCCATTAATTTCGGTGGAACTATTACTGATGCCTTCCTACGTTGATGGGAAGAGCCTGCGTTTTTCCAGTGGAATAAATGTGCCTGTTTTGTGTTGGCATTCTTCTGAGAAGTCCTTTTCACGTCTTTAGCATAATGCTGGGGAAGAAATGTAACGGGAGGGAAGAAAAATGTGCTGCGATGACCATTGTCTTTTAAAGGAAAATGACCTTCTTTCTCATTTCAATAATTTTTCCTTCAGGTCCTTTCGGAACAGTGGAGTTTGTTTCATTCCTAATTTTAGCCAGAGGGAGCTTTTATAGGTATTGGCTTTTAAGGCAGTGAGTGGCCCCTGCATAAATGACTGTCACTGATGGATCATGTGAGGACGGGCTGGACCAGAGGCAGCTCCTGAAGAAGTTAATCTCACTGGCTTTGCCAGCTGGAGTCAGTGATACACCTCTATGCAAAGTCTTTCCTTTTTTATCCTAAAGAAAAAAGAGGGGGGAGAAAAGGCAAGAAATTGAAACCCAACCCTAAATTGTTTTCCTCTTCCTTCCCCTACCAAAACCCAGCTTCACACAAGGGTAATCAAAATAGGGTTGTAACCATCTGGTGGGAGGTGTCCCTGCCCAGGGCAGGGGGTGGCACTGGATGATCTTTAAGGTCCCTTCCAACCCAAACCATTCTGTGATTCTTAAGTTACACTACCAGTGGTGAGATTTTACTTAAAATAACATGGTTTAGTCTTTGTCCTGCTTTTGATCCCAATTCAATGGAGAATAATAAGTGGAAAGATAAATACAATGATAATTGGAAGGGATGTAAAGTAAACACTGATTTTATGACAATATTCAACTCTCTTTTGATGTTACCCATCTAGCAAGTTAATTCTGTACAAAATTAAGTCACTGTTACTACAGGTATTTTCATTACTACACGCTTTCTGCCTTGTACACGTACAGCAAAACATCTTGCATTTTGTCTTTCAGTTCCTCCAATGCATGTAAATTTTTGCCTTAGAAAATTCCTCATTAGAAATCTTAAATAATAATGTTCCTAAAAATCAAGATTTGTTTATTATACCCTTATGTGGTAAAAAAAGTGCTTATTATATTCTGCTCAGTGGAAGAGTATCTACTCTGTGTAGTGAAATACATTGTAGCTCTTAATTTCCCTGCCAATTAGAATGAGAGTTCTGGTGTGCCAGCACAGGTTATATGCTCTAGATCAGTTTGTTGTGCAATAGAGAGCCGTTCCCTCACGGCTTCAGCGGCCCCGGGAGGCCGCTCATCGGGCGGGTAAGCGGCGGTCCCACCGCCTCACGGCTGCCAGCGGCTCCTCCGCCCCCTTTACGGCTGCCGCGACGATGGCGGGAGCGGGGAAGCGTTAACCGCCCGCCGGCTCCTTCTAGGGGTGAGCGGCCGGCGCCGGTGCGGTGGGACGAAACGCCTCAGCGGTGGCGGCGAAGAGGCGGCCGCTGCCGGGCGCACCCGCGGGCGGCGGCCCGGGCCCGGGCTGTGGTAACCGCGACGCGGCGGGTGAGGGAAGAAGCGGGGCCGCCGCGGGGGACAAAAGGCCGCGGGGGTCGGTGTGAGGGATCCGGGGCGGGAACGGGCGAGGAGAGAGGCGGCTCTTCTGCCAACAGCTGCGGCTGGGCTTTAAACGAGTAAAACCGTCGGTCTTCGCTGCAGGATTGGAAAAAAAAAGCTGCTTTTTCTTCACCTGCCCTTTGTAAATTATTGTTTCTAACTGTCTTAATGTGTGTTTGCAGCTAGAAAGGACTCGCTCCTCAAAAATGACTTCTCGGCATTATTGTCTGCCTGGTACTTCTGTGTGGATTTCGCTGTCGCTGCTGCTAGGTCAGTGTCTTTCCAGGTAGGAAGGATGCGAAGGGGGTCTTGTCTTCACACTTAAATTAATTAATATTAAGGTAGTCACGTTTAGACTTCATTCGTCCCTTTTGCTGCAGTTGCATTGGCAGGTTAGGTTGCTTTTTCTGTTAATGAAAATACACAAATTCTATTGTTAGTGAGGTTTTTTCCCCTCACCGTTAATAACCACCCAGCTCGCTGCGATCTTCCCCCTCTTAACTCTGGGCTCTGAGAGGACAAGACTTCCATTTTTCAGAGGGGTCTCCTGCCGCTCTGTGAAGTTAAACCATCCTAGTAATGTACGTTCTAGGCAACTTCTTAAATGAGACAACTTCAGTATAAAACCATTAGCATTAGATTTAATAACAGGGGTTGCACGGTGCCCGTTGGGCTTGAATCCGCATTCCCTGTGACCTCCTGATGCTGTTCCATTAATTTCGGTGGAACTATTACTGATGCCTTCCTACGTTGATGGGAAGAGCCTGCGTTTTTCCAGTGGAATAAATGTGCCTGTTTTGTGTTGGCATTCTTCTGAGAAGTCCTTTTCACGTCTTTAGCATAATGCTGGGGAAGAAATGTAACGGGAGGGAAGAAAAATGTGCTGCGATGACCATTGTCTTTTAAAGGAAAATGACCTTCTTTCTCATTTCAATAATTTTTCCTTCAGGTCCTTTCGGAACAGTGGAGTTTGTTTCATTCCTAATTTTAGCCAGAGGGAGCTTTTATAGGTATTGGCTTTTAAGGCAGTGAGTGGCCCCTGCATAAATGACTGTCACTGATGGATCATGTGAGGACGGGCTGGACCAGAGGCAGCTCCTGAAGAAGTTAATCTCACTGGCTTTGCCAGCTGGAGTCAGTGATACACCTCTATGCAAAGTCTTTCCTTTTTTATCCTAAAGAAAAAAGAGGGGGGAGAAAAGGCAAGAAATTGAAACCCAACCCTAAATTGTTTTCCTCTTCCTTCCCCTACCAAAACCCAGCTTCACACAAGGGTAATCAAAATAGGGTTGTAACCATCTGGTGGGAGGTGTCCCTGCCCAGGGCAGGGGGTGGCACTGGATGATCTTTAAGGTCCCTTCCAACCCAAACCATTCTGTGATTCTTAAGTTACACTACCAGTGGTGAGATTTTACTTAAAATAACATGGTTTAGTCTTTGTCCTGCTTTTGATCCCAATTCAATGGAGAATAATAAGTGGAAAGATAAATACAATGATAATTGGAAGGGATGTAAAGTAAACACTGATTTTATGACAATATTCAACTCTCTTTTGATGTTACCCATCTAGCAAGTTAATTCTGTACAAAATTAAGTCACTGTTACTACAGGTATTTTCATTACTACACGCTTTCTGCCTTGTACACGTACAGCAAAACATCTTGCATTTTGTCTTTCAGTTCCTCCAATGCATGTAAATTTTTGCCTTAGAAAATTCCTCATTAGAAATCTTAAATAATAATGTTCCTAAAAATCAAGATTTGTTTATTATACCCTTATGTGGTAAAAAAAGTGCTTATTATATTCTGCTCAGTGGAAGAGTATCTACTCTGTGTAGTGAAATACATTGTAGCTCTTAATTTCCCTGCCAATTAGAATGAGAGTTCTGGTGTGCCAGCACAGGTTATATGCTCTAGATCAGTTTGTTGTG